AGAGAGAGAGAGTGTGTGTGTCTGTGCGCCCTCGAGGGAGGAAGAAGAAGAAGAGAGGGACACTATTCGGATAATGGAGGAAGTTCAGTTGCGGCTCTATTTGGAAAACGGAACTGGTATAGAAATGCTCCTAGGGCGTTTGAATTCGTGGAGGGTGACGCTTCTCCCACCGCAGCCTAATTGCTCAATAAAATGGCGCCACGTTGACTCTTCTGATTCCCTCAATTGATTCAAATTTGGAATGAGTCAGTTATGAGTTAAATTTTTGGATTGAAATTTTTCGTGCCGATCTCAACTCGGCTCAAACATATTTAGCTCAAAGATTGTTAATGGCTCGAAAATTGATTCCAATTTTGGCTTGGATCGAGATCGAATTGAAATAATCGAGCATGATTATGAGTTAAAATTTTGGATCGAATATTTTTTAGCTGAATTTGAGCAGACCCCAGCTCGATTCGAAATTAGATCTTTAATAGCCCTAGGCGGCACAATCCCTTATGTCCCTAAATAAGAATAAAATTTTAATTTAATTATAATTACAATTTAATGAGAACATCTAACACCATGGCTAATTTGATAATCCAATGAGTTCTTTCAATTTTGTGAAATTTGTCTTTTCTGATACAACAAATAATAATGAATTTACTATTCCCACATTCCAATTTGATTCAAAGCTTCAAAATCTCACGCTCGATAGGGGTGTAAATCGCAAGTTTCGGGATTTATGTATGCAATTGCCTTAAATTTTAATTTAGGGGTCTTCACACACCCATAGGGATGTAAATCAGGCTCAGCTCGTGTTCGGTTCGTTTATATTTCGAGCTCAAAAAGTGTGTTCGTGCTCAACTTGTTTGCTTAGCGAGCCGAACACGAGTCGTTCACGAACAAAGAGCCATTTTGACAACCCAAATCACGTAGTCATCAGATGTTAAAAATTGGGGCAAGATTTAAAACATTATTTGAATCTAATTTAATAATTTTTATTCTATTTTTTTCATTAATATTTTTAGTTGCTTTTAAATCTTTGCAGCTTTGTAGTCAACTAAAATTTTAAAAAAGATTACTCATCAAAGATATATATATAATTGATTAGTGGCATTTCGAGCCAAAAAGAGTCGAACATGAACGAGCAAATATTTATTCGTGTTGTTCGTGTTCGGCTTGTTAACTTATCGTACACGAGCTGTTCGCGAACAACGAACCGTTTTGACAACCCTACATACCCACCAGCCAAATCCTACGTATTTACATATCAAATAAGGACATTAAAATTAAGGTGATTGATACGTTAATACATTGAACTTGGACGATAGGTATGTAAATCTCCCTTTAATTCACTATAATTAAAATTAAATGAAAACATATAACTCAATGGCTAATTGAGTCACAATCGATAATCCCATGATTTTTTTTTTTTTTGCTTATTCAATTTTGTGACATTTATCTTTTGGAATGAATTTACTTCCCGCAATCCCAATTTATTATCTATTTGGGGCAGCTTGTGCGTTTCAGGATTAGTAGCTTATCATGAAACACGGCCCGCGGGGCGACGCACGGGGGTCGACCCGACCTGCGTTTAGTGTAAAAAACCCAAACGCGGCAAACCTCGTTTTCAAAAACGAGCAAACCAAACGGTTAGACGGTTTTTTCAAAAATGTCAGCTCCCTTATAAGTTGCCATAAACAGACCCTTAATTATAAGGATCAAAGTCCCAACACATTTAATATTTTTCGAACACATTGAAAGTTGTTTCCCTAATGTCCCCCAAATGTATCATGCATGGAATAAGATACCAAGTGGGCTTCAAAATATATGGGTCACATTATATCTTCAATAATAGTTTGAAAAAAATGAAAATTAAATCTAAAGTTCTATTAAATTGAATTGTTTTCGACTACGTTCCTTATCTTTTATGCTGTAAATCTGGATTTACGAAATCTGATTATTAGACGTATTTAAAAATTCGTTCTGTCGTTACTCTCGAGCTTATTTATGTCACATAGAATATTATATTTAGTGTATTTAATGAATCCTAGTTAAGGTAAATTCAGGTTGCAGCCAAACAGTGTCTAATACAATCCCCTTTAGCAAAAAGATACTTAGGACATCACAAGTTCATAACATTAAAAATAAAAACAATTTATCTAAATGCAAGCTTGCCTAAAATAAGATTTATCATTAACCTGTTTTTCTTGCCATTGTCCAGTGATCCAAATTTCCTACCTCTTAATCATGCTATTCATGCATGTGATTAACAATTTATTCACAAATAAATGATTGATAATTGAACTCCACTGATTTTTGTATTTAATTAATAGCCCAATAATTGAACTCCATTGATTTTAGCCCCTTTGATTCTTATAAATAAGATACGATGGGACTCCTCATTCTTTTTTTGCTCTACGATGCCTCTCGTTTGAATCAAGGGGTTTTCGGGTGTTGTGATAGAGAGTATATCAAACCTATCGAGTGACATCCTCAATAAAGATCTGATCCATGCTATCTTCAGAAAATACAAAGGTCAGGACTACCAGGAGGTGAAAGAAAGAAGAAAGTCATCATTAAAAAGAAAAAAAAAAACTGTTGCAATTGTGCTAACAGACCAGAGTGGGTAAACCAATCTTGTCACCCTGTTGTCAGATTCAGAGGAGAGCGATGAAGACAGAGGAGGAGCGATATAGACAATGGCGGGTCGTCGAATATGTGACCCACTTTTTTACTTCTTCTATAACTTTAGAGAAATTTTTTCTTTTTCATTTGAATACTTGTAAAATCTTATGAATGAAAACAATATTTTTTGGATGATCAAACTTTCATTTATGTGCTTCCTTTAGCGTTTATATTATTCTTTCTTTTGCATCTTTGTATTGAATGAACTTGTGACAAGCACCTGGTTGTGATTATTGATATGTCATTACACTGCATCTTTGTGTTGAATGAACTTATGACGAGCACCTGGTTGTGATTATTGATAGGTCAACGATTTTAAGAATGTTCATTGTTTGTTCGCTCAGTTATCGTCCGACTCAAGTATTACACTTTCTATGTCTCGATCGTTCAGTTATCGCCCGACTCAACAATTTTAATAATGTTCATTGTCAGTTCGCTCAGTTATCGTCTGACTCAAATATTACACTGCATCTTTGTGTTGAATGAACTTATGACGAGCACCTGGTTGTGATTATTGATAGGTCAACGATTTTAAGAATGTTCATTGTTTGTTCGCTCAGTTATCGTCCGACTCAAGTATTACACTTTCCATGTTATCATCCGACTCAATTATCGCCCGAATCAAGTATACTTTTGCATCTTTGTGTTGAATGAACTTGTGACGAGCACCTGGTTGTGATTATTGATAGGTCAACAATTTTAAGAATGTTAATTGTCAGTTCGCTCAGTTATCGTCCGACTCAAGTATTACACTTTCCATGTTGTCATCCTACTCGAGTATTCTTTCGCATCTTTGTGTTGAATGAACTTGTGACGAGCACCTGGTTGTGATTATTGTGATTATTGATAGGTCAAGAATGAACTTGTGACGAGCACCTGGTTGTGATTATTGATAGGTCAACAATTTTAAGAATGTTCATTGTCAGTTCGCTCAGTTATCATCCAACTCAAGTATTACACTTTCCATGTCTTGGTTGCTAGAATAGGTTTGTTTCCTTGGACGGACCTCAACTTACGCCTGACGTATTAAGCAGATTTTGTCGCAGTCTTGTAGGATTAACTGTTTGTACATGATGCTGGGGTGATTCATACGCTGTCACTGTATATCTAATTACAAATGGGTAGAGAATGCCTCTATCAGAGTTTGACTAGTTTTGAGCTATAAGACATGGGTTTTTATGATGCATGAGCGTTTTGGTCAGATCTTGAGCATTTTCCCAATCAGATGTTTATTCTTCATTATCAATTATTTAGAAAATTTCACCGATCAGAAGTTTACTCACAATTTTTTATTTTGCAGCTCAGATAGAACCAAAGTCGACAGGTCAGTTTGAGTTTCTCGAGACTTACGTGTACTTCTCGAGTTCCTCAAGAGTCGGTTGGACCAGAGATTATAGACATAATTAGAGAATTTTTACATAAATATTTTTATGAATTTGACAATAAACTACAAAGATATGAAGAATAACACATTTTTATGGCTCAATCACCACCCTTTACCTTGGGCGATCCTTTTCTCTTGGCAATGGGTTAAGGATTCCACTCTGAAGGAAATGGGTTAGAGTTATACTCTTAAGCCGATTTGTGGTTGTTTTCTAGCTCCAATAACCTGACTAGTGTCTTCAGTCACTGCAGACCCAACACATATCAGAATGATATTTTCTTCATCCCTTGAGTGAGTGCGGCATGGGTGACCGTGTGTTCCAGGTCCCACACTTCCAGGATCTTCTTCTGGAAGCATGTTATGAGCGAACGAAGGCTCTTGCTCTATCCATAGAAAATCTGTAGGAGGGTCTATGAGTATTTCTAAGGCTTCTAGGCTCTGGCAAATTGAGCCGCAAGCATAGACTTCAAATCAGTGAACAACATGATTACTCGTGGTGGTAATCCTTCGAACCATCTAAAAGTTGACTCCCTCAGCACAGTGAGGAAAAAGATGACACTTCAACTTGTTGTTCATCCTTAGCAGGCACACGATCGACTCAAACTAGACTATGTGGTCAGCTGGATCCTTTATAGAAATCAGTGTTGAGATCAACCTCAGAGATTTGCCAAGAGAATGCATTATCGAGCTATCAAGGTACCTCAATATGCCCAAACTGATGTCGATCGATCGATGCTAACCCAGTATTATCAAGTATTGGGAGTCACATTCTCTTTCAAAAGCTATGGGGACTCTTTTATTGTTAGGCACTAGCCTTTAATCTCGGGGCTATTGCTCTTTCTATTCATCCTGGTAGCCTTGGGCATCAGATTTGTTGTAATAGTTCATCTTATTGAACTAATTATTGGTTAGCAACAAGATACTTTATGCACTTTTTATCAGGAACAAGTCTTAGTTCCTTTTTCAAGCCTTCTAATCCATAGCTATTCCCTATCCTCTACACAAGTGCAATAATAGATCGATTAACTCTACATATATTCCAACTTTTCTAATCATAATTTGTTATTATCTTGAATAATAAAGTATTCCC